AGCCGGGTGTGGTGGCACACGCCTTTAATCCCAGCGCTCAGGAGGCAGAGGCAGGCAGATTTCTGAGTTCAAGGCCAGCTGGAGCTACAGGGAGACCCTTTTTCAAAAAGACCAAAAAATAAAAAACGAAAGTGTGTCTTTCCTTTATACATAGGTGGCTAGCCAGAAACTGTGTCCTTCCTTTATACATAGGTGGCTAGCCAGAAAGTGCGTCCTTCCTTGATACATAGGTGGCTAGCCAGAAAGTGCGTCCTTCCTTTATACATAGGTGGCTAGCCAGAAAGACCACGTTTTGGATTCCCAGCAGGGAAGGAGCTGGTCACCTCAGCCACACTGTTGGTGCAGTCTAGTGAGCTGCTACTGTGTGGTCAGTGTCCTGGAAACATCCCAAAGCCAGTTCCAGATGCCAGTCAAGAGCCAGACCTGCATACAGACTTTCCTTCCAATGGCTGGAATTAGGCCTCCTCTATTGATGAATTTGTGCACAAGCTAGTCAACTCAGCCAGCCATAAAGAAGGAATATAACCCCAAGCTGACGCCCCTCAGAATCCTCCCAGGTCTTTGTTTCTCTGCCTTCTCTTAATACTGTCCTCTGAGCTGCCCAGTGAATAGCTGTCCTTTCCACCTGATGGCAAAAGCCCTTCCCAGCTGATGAACCAGATGTTGGTATCCAAATGCTTCAATGCTTTCATTTTTTCTTCTGTTTGCAGAACAGCCTGAACATGCATTCTGTGCCCAGCTACCTCACCCAGCCTCCACCACCTCCTCCACCTCCTCCACCTCTGCCCCCACCCCCACCACCCCAACCTCCACCTGCCCCACCTCAGGCCCTGGGCCCTCCTGGGCGCCCCAACCCTGTTGGCAATAGCGTGGTAGAGGTGTACAGTGCTGCTGCACCCCTGGCTGGGAGTGGAACAGTGGAGATCCAGGCACTGGGGATGCAGCCCTACCCGCCCCTAGAGGTGAGCAATGGCAGGGGTCAGGTGGAAGGGGAGACTGGTCAAGGCCATCATAGGTAAACTGGGCCTTCCCTGAGCACAGTGTGTGTCAGGCGCTATGCTGGGGATACCATGGGGAATAAAAGTCGACCCAACCCTGTTCTCATGGAGCATCTGTGTCACAGGAGAGGAGGGATTCATTAAAGTATCACACCTATGATGGAAAGTGCCTGGGATTTGAACCCAGTCAGCCCACCTCCAAAGCTATTTCTGGGCTCCAGCTTTATGAACTAACTTCCTTCCTTCCTTCCTTCCTTCCTTCCTTCCTTCCTTCCTTCCTTCTTTCTGTTTTGCCTTCCTTCCTTCCTTCCTTCCTTCCTTCCTTCCTTCCTTCCTTCCATTTAGGGGGAAGGGGACATATATGCCATAGCACATGTGCCGCAGGACACATGTGGAAGTTGGAGGACAACTTTCAAGAGTCAGTTCTCTTCTTCCATTGTGTGGGTTCCAGGGATCAAATTCAGATCGTAGGACTTGGCAACAAGCAACTCTACCTGATGAACCATCTCACCAGCCCTCTTCATGAAGTTCTAAGGGGTCTTGGGAGTGACTGGAGTCACTGAGCTAGGTCGCAGGGTTAGGTGGTGATGAAAAGGTAGTGACTAAGCATACAAGCCCACAGTGAGAGTCCATGCTTAAGGAAGGTCTCCTGTCCAAGGGCTCTTTCGCTCACAGTGCTGTCATTCTAGGTGCCAAACCAGTGTGTGGATGCTCCAGTGTACCCCACGCCCCCGGTGTATAGCCCTGGCAAACAGGGATTCAAACCAAAAGGACCCAGCCCCACTGCTCCCATGAGCAGTGCCACTGGTGGCAATGTGGCTGCCTTTGACTCCCCATCAACGCTGAAGACCCGATGGTCTAAAGGTGCCAGTGGACTCCCAGAAGGTGGGCTGCCCACCTGCCATGGGCATCTTTCCTTGGCCTTGGCCTTTCCACAAGCTGCTTGGTTCTGGTCTTCCCTGTTACGATGGGTAGGGTTAAATTTGGTGACATGTATTGAAACTTGAAATAATCGTGACTTTAAAATGATAAGGGCTTTGTTTCTCTCAATGTAGAACAAGACCAGAAGCAGGCCATCTGGGGATTTTATTACATCACCATCACCCATGTTTCTGTTCCTGTGTCCCTAGAGTATGGCTTCATTCTTCAGGGTGCCCCATTATCTAAGGTGGTTGCTGGAGTGCCATTCATCATTCTCATAGTCCAGGCAGTAAGAAGGAGGAGGAAGAGAAGGGTAAAGCAGTACATCCCAGCTTCTAGAAGTTCTATAAGAAATTTCTGCTTACATATATCTTTTTGGAGCAAACTTAGTCACATGGCCATACATAGCTGCAGAGGAAGCTGGGAAATACCTGCCCTAGCTGGGGTCATTGATATTCCTACTATATATGGCATTTTTGAGGAGGGGAGAAGAGGCAAGAATGGCCACCATTTAGACAAGTTGAGAAGTTTGCCCCCCTTTTAGAGATGCTAAGTATGGAATCGGGCGATGTTGAAAGCAAGTAGTAAATGGAAGGGAGACAAACTGGGAATTTTTCAGGGTTTTCCTTTTAACTGCTTCCTTTTTCCCTTCCACAAATATGAATTAACAACTGCATCTCTACTGGGAGCATAGTGTCTTGGTCCAGGATCTCTTTTGCTCTCGGTTACTCAAAGTTTAAAGGGAGGGATGGACAGGGAACACATAGATGCTTCTGAGTTGCTGTAGGAAGGAGATAGGAGGGTACTGTGGTTGAGGCTGGAAAGGCACACTACCTACCATTTGGGGAGAAGGAAGCAGCCTTGTAGGTATCTGAGAGACAAGCAATCCAGGCAAGGGAACCAACAGGTGCCAAGTCCTGAGGTGAGACCATGCTGTAGGTTGTAAATTAGCAAGGAGTCAGTTGCAGGATGGAGGGAATGATGAGATTGGCAGGATGCAGAGGGCATGGAGTACTGAAGGCCACAACAGAGGGTGGGTTTGATAATGGGATAGTAGAAGGCTTTGAAAGAGCTTTGACTGACTTTCCCACCCAGAGCATGTCTTGGGCTTTCCCTCTTGCCCTACCTCTGCATAGATGGAGACTTCTCAGAGTGTGGGCATTTTGGCCCAGGTGTGGGGTGGAGTGGTTAGAGGCTTCCCTTGACACCCTCAGCTGGGTCCCTAGCCTCACTGCCCCTCTCTCTCTTTGTCTTTCAGCTGTAGGGAAGCCAAAGGCTCAGAAACTCAAGTGCTCCTACTGTGACAAGTCGTTCACCAAAAACTTTGACCTGCAGCAGCACATCCGAAGGTATAGGGGAAGCAGGTGTGGCTAGGGGCCACCTTCAGGGAAGCGAGGCTACCTCCTCAGCCCCGGGCTGGGTTGAGGACCAAGTGTCCACCTGGTTTGTGATGGTCTGTAGCAGCAGTAGAGGATGGGATGGTTCTTTACTCCTCTCAGGGTAGAGGCAGGGTGTGCCCACCATGACAGGAAGATTGGGGTGTCTGTGTGGGTGGGTGCTCTTGAACACAAAAGAGGCTTTGCTGCCTCTGTCTTCCAGCTGCAGAAGGGTTGGCCTGTAGGCTTCCAGCTATACTTAGGTGGCCCACTAAACAGAATCTTCTTGTTCCAAGAATGTCCAGGACCCTTCCTTGGCTTCAGTTTCCCATCTGTGAAGTGGTAGGATGGACTGACATAGCACCTCCTCACAATGGGATGCGTTGGTGGGGTGGTGGTGGCCTCATGGCTATGGTGTCGTAAAATTCTGAATGATGTGATGAGATTGCTTCCTTTTCAACTTTAATGCTTGGATGGCTGGGTGCCTTTAATCCTGGCACTCAGGAGGCAGAGGCAGGCGGATCTCTGTGAGATCAAGTCCAGCTTGGTCTACATAACAAGTTCCAGGCCAGCAGGGGCTGCATGGTGGAACACTGTCTCAAAAAACAAGGGGACTGGAGAAATGGCTCAGCAGTTAAGAGCACTGGATGCTCTTCCAGAGGACCTGAGTTTGGTTCTCACATGGCTTCTAATGACCATCCATACATACAGGCAAAACACTCATACGCATAAAGTAAAAATAAATAAATTTAAAACATTAAAAACAAAACTGAAACTAAAAAAAAAAATTTTTTTTTTTTGGTCTTTCTGAGACAGGGTCTCTCTGTAGCCCCAGCTGTCCTGGAACTCACTATGTAGACCAGGGTGGCCTTGAACTTACAGAGATCTGCCTGCCTCTGCCTCTCAAGTGCTGGGATCAAAGTCATACATCACCATGCCCAGTTAAAAAAATTTTTTTTAAGAAAAAAATAAAAAGAAGTTCACCGTTCGGAACATATTATAGGCAGCCATTAGGCACTTCTGAAGCGAGTGTCTCAACACTGTGTGCTTCCCAACCTCTGTGTGAAGTTGCATTACTGAGTGAGTGAAGGGCCAAACACCCTACTCTGATTTAGACCTGTTGGTGCTGCACCAGGACTTCCACAAGCCCTTGTAAAGAGCTGGATTCTTTTTTAAAATATTTTATTTATTATCTTTATTTTATATATATGACTGTATTGCCTGTGTGTATATGAGTGCACCTGTGTCATGCAATGCTGCAGAGGTCAGAAGAGGGCTTTGGATTCACCTGGAGCTGAAGTTAAGGACGGTTTGTAGCCACCATGTGGGTGCTGGGTATCAAACCCAGGTCCTCTGCAAGAGCAGTCAGTGCTTTTAACTGCTGAGCCATCTCTCCAGCCCTGAAGAGCTGGATTCCTAAGGACAAATGAAAAAAACAAGGCCCTGGGTTCCATCCCCAGCACCACGAAACAACAGAAAGTTAATTTTGTTGGATGTGGCAGTGCATGTCTGCAATCCTGGCACTTGGGAGGTAGAAGAGAATCAGGAATTTAAGGTCATCTTTGACTATATAGCAATTTCCAGGCCAGCCTGGTCTGTATTTGACTTTGTCTAAAAAAGAATTTATTTGAAGAAAAATGTTAAATAGGGGTACAAGAATATCTTCCCAGTGCTGGGGACTGTAGCTCAGTGGTAGAGCGCTTGACCAGCATACATGAGGTCTTAGGTTCCAGTGCCTGTAGTGGCAAAATAAACAAACAAACAAACAAATCTAGTAGTCATCAAGTGTTGAGGGTAGCTCAAGGAGATGGCTTAGCGGATAAAAGCACTTACCACTAAGCCTGATGTCCTGAATTCAATTCCCTAGGATCTACATGGTAGAAAGAACCAACTTCCACAAGTTGTCCTCTGACCTCCACACGTGTGCTGTAGCACCCACACACATCCTCACACATACACCACACACACACACACACACACACACACACATACACACACACCACATACCAAAACCAAAGATTGTTTCCTATTTGAGGCTTCAAGGGTTAGGAAATGTATTATCTCAGAGTATGAGGTAAGCAGGACAAAGGTCCACTGACTAAACAGCACAGCCATATGATCAAGATTCCAGGTCTTTCCACCTTGGTCTGCCTGCCTCAGTGAGAAGATGGGTCCCCATGGTGGCAGAATGGTGGCAGCACATCTCTGGGTCCTCCTGGTGGCTATGAGATCCTGGGTGGAGGCTGTGCCCCCATTTTTACCTAAGGATGTTGACCAGCCTTGTCTCCACAGCCACACCGGGGAGAAGCCCTTCCAGTGCATTGCATGTGGCCGCGCCTTTGCCCAGAAGTCTAATGTCAAGAAGCACATGCAGACCCACAAAGTGTGGCCTCCAGGGCGCAGCAGTGGCACTGTTTCTCGAAACTCTGTGACAGTGCAGGTCATGGCTTTGAACCCCAGCAGGCAAGAAGATGAGGAGGACACAGGTGGGTGGAAGTGGGGAAAGTGACTGTCCCCACACATCCCCTCTGGAGTTTTAGAGTGCTGCGTGATTGTTTCTTTGTGGCACTACAAATGGAACACAGGGTCTTATGCAAACTAGTCAAGAACTCTGTCTCCAGCCTCAGCATCATAGAGTTTGTTGTTAGTCATGTGACCTTGGACAACTTCCATGACTTCTCTGAGCATCAGTCTGCTTTATCTTTAAAATGAGGCTTAGAGAGCTGGGTGTGATGGTGTTCACATATAATCCCAGTACCAGAGAGGCTAAGATGGGAAGATTGGGAGTGGGAGGCCAATCTCAGCTACATCATGAGTCTGGGTTCAGTCTGCAGTATATAGTAAGAACCTATCTTAGGGGCTGGAGGATGGCTCAGTGTATAACAGCACTGACTGCTCTTGCACAGGACCTGGGTTCGGTTCTAAGCACCCATGTGGCAGCTAATAACCATCTCTAACTCCATTTCCAGCAGGGGATCCAACACCCTCTTCTGACCTCCATGGGCATTGTGTGATACGGTTACGCTTACATACATGCTGGCAATATAGCGATACACATAAAAAATAAAAATGAAGGCTCAGTGGGTTAAGAACACTGTTCTTACAGAGGACCGGGGTTTGAATCCCAGCACCCACATGGCAGCTAACAACTGTCCATAACTCCAGTTCCAGGGGAGTGCTGAGCCATCTCTTCAGTCCCTGACAGATGTATTCTTAATAATTGAAATCTCTAATTTTTAGATAGAAGTAAATTTAGCTTCTTTCTCCCAAAACTAAGCACATCAGTGATGAATGTGGACAAGCTCAGGTCTGGTTCGCTCAGCCACATCTGCCTTAGTGGCTCTATACACTGACAGGCATAGCCTCTGGCTTAAGGCACAAGAAGATCATATGTAAAATTAGTGGGCAGTGTTAACAGATATTATTTGAAACTCATTTAAACTGCACAGTGTGAGGCTGGAGGATGGCTCAGCGGTTAAGAGCACTGACTGCTCTTGCAGAGGACCCAGGTTTGATTCCCAGCACCCACATAGCAGCTAACAACCGTCTGTAACTCCAGTTCCAGGGGATTCGACACCCTCTTCTGAACTCCACAAGCATTGCAAGATACAGGTGCACTTACATACATGCAGGCAATATACTCATACACATAATATAAAAATAACAAAATATTAAAAAAATAAGAACCGGCCAGGTGTGGTGGTGCACGCCTTTAATCCCAGCACTCGGGAGGCAGAGGCAGGCAGACCTCTGTGAATTCAAGGCCGGCCTTGTCTACATAGTGAGTTCCAGGCTAGCTGGCCAGCTGGGGCTACAAGGGAGACCCTGTTTCAAAAAGGCAAAAAAAAAGACAGGTTCTTAAACTCACAGAGATCCACCTGGCTCTGCCTCCCGAGTGCTGGGATTAAAGGTGTATGCCACCACACCTGGCCATAAGAACCTATCTTTTTTTGTTTGTTTTTGAATTCTTTTTTAAAAGTTATTTGTTTAATAACCACATAATTAGAAGAAAGGGGGGCATAAGATGAAAGGAAAGAAACCAAATATATAATAAGCATGACACTAGGGCAAATGTAGATACCATTCATTAATTAGTGGCATTGTTGCTTGTTATTTAGCCTTTAGCTATACATACGGACTTTTATGAAATTATGTTGGCCCATTTAATATTTGGCCGTACTTTCCTTTTGGGTGTTTAAGGCCATACAGTTGGTCCAGATAAACTGATTTATTTTTACTCTAAAGGTCATTTGAGGATCTGTTCCTCAGGGGTCACATGGGCTTGGGAGGAACCCCTGACTCGTTTCTTTTACTAGTTCTGCTTATGTGAAGATAAGTCAAAGGTCCTGCTCGACCATGGTTGGCTTCGCTTGGAAGCATGGAGGAAGTGATTCCTCTGTGTTG